GGTCCTGCCCAGTCAGAACCTTTACGTACCACACCTTTAACTCTCTCCCTCTCACCCTCGGCTGGGGGCAGGAATTGTGTGCGCAGGTGTGTGTGGTTTTGGTCCCCAGCCAAGGGCTAACCCATCACAGCTGCTAATGGTGTGTTTGCACGATGAAAGAGGAGCTGAACAGCTTTTCATGCACCATAAGTAGAAATAATAAGAGATTAGCTGTAACAGCCAAAACCAGCCCTGAGCGCAGAGCACTTATTCCCCCAGCACCACAAGACAGGGCTTGCTGTACTCCTCCTACCTCCACACAGACAGATGACAGGCTCTACACCCAAATTACTCTGCCTCCAAGGAGCACTTGCTTCTCATTGTCCTTCTATCACGCAAAAAACCCTCCTTCTCCCCAGCCCTCACCACTGGGGCCCTTTCTTCATAAAGCCAACCACATGATTAAATCCAGTCTGCTGCAATCACAGGCAGCCAAAACGTGTAATAGATGGTACGCAGACGGCTGCAGCAAGCTTTGCTCCAGACAAGTGTCATTCTCCCCACCCCCTCCAGCACAAAACATCCCTCTAACTCACTCTGTTTCTCTCTCTTTCTCTACAGTAAAAAATCAGCCGCAACTGCGAGACAGCACAGCAGAAGAGCAAGAGTTAAGGACATCACAGATGCCCTTGGTTTCTACACAGACAGGAACATCACATCAGATTCCTAGATGACCCTAGGGCTCATGCCCAATGCCAAAGGTCAGAAACAGTTAGAGGAGAGAGGAACCAGAACACCTGAAAAACCACTCTCCAAGTTTTTCCTTAAATCCCCTCTTGTAGGTAGAACACGTTTTCCAACCACACCACCTTTGTGATCTCAAAAAGTCAGACAGCATCTCATTTACTTTAAGTTTTGCAGAGAAAATGGAGTGATGTTCTCCAAGACTGTATCATTGCAGAATAAGAGAATGGTTTCATTTAAAAGAGTTATTTCTGACTAGCCATTTCCCTGTAAAGTTATTTTGGATTTCTGTTAAACACAAGCTTATTTCCTTTTGTGAAAACGAGAGCTGAAACTATGTCAAAAAAACCAAATGCACACCAAGCATCAACTTCAGAAAGAAGCAAGAGAAGAGACCTCATGGCGATGCCAACAGAAGAGGGGCAGGAAGGGGAAGATGTTCAATTCAGCTGTCCAGAGTGGCGAGCCATTAGTAGCCCTTTGATTTCCTGTATGTTCAGAAACCTCAGAGTAGAGGTTCCCATGACAAACACGGTGACAATGTGACAGCCTTACCTAGCAGCTTCTGTAGTGCGGGTGGGGTGGGTGTCACCAGTAGCTGGTTAGATGAATGCCGTTGCACTTTAGGAGGTAGTTGGTAATATGGACTATGAGGTGACTTGTATGCATCTGAAGAGAGAAACAAAGAGAACTTTTCAGATCAGGAAACTCAGAGTTCCTGGCAACTCCAGCAGCTCCACCACTGGAAAGCATGCCATTCACAACGCGAGATCCAGTAACTTAGCTGGATCACCACACCGTTTGGAAGGACACCTACAATTTACCCTTAGAACAGCAGGAGCAGAGACACGCTATCAGCCACAGCTCCACTCTGGCCAAGCGCCTCCAGGCAGATTCATTTGCCACCTTCTCCCAGAGGCACACATACCACCACCCAAGGGGTGCTTTGCTTTGGTAGCAAGGGAGAAGTTCTGACACAAAACCAAACTAAATCAAGCAATAAGGGAACAATGACGTCCAAGTGTGCATTCAGAGCCCCAGACACTTAGCTATCCTCATGTGGCCGGGGGGACTTCCTCCAGTGCCAGCCTTGAACTCACCCTGAGGTGAGGATGAAGATGTCTGTGAAACAGTTTGAGCATGCAGAAGTTCTAGTGCAGTTTGGTTCTTCTTGGTCTTGCGCTCTGTATTTGCAGTGTTCATTTTCTTGGGACGTCCTCGTTTCCTGCCTGCCATTTTCCTTCCTTTTTTACTTAGCTTCTTCTTCCGTGCTTTGGAGGGAGATGGCTTTTTAACAGAATTTGCCCCAGCCTTCTCTTCTTCAGCACCAGAATCCTAAGAGATTTTTAAAAGCCAAAAGCTCTTTAGTAATTTCTGCCTATAGATGCAGCATTCCTTGTAAGCAAGCATGAATAACTTTGTTAAATCATTTTATGAAAGGAAACTGATGGATCGTAGTTAAAGAACCTGCCAGTGAAACAGACCTGCTCGGGATACGAGCTCTCCCCACCACCCAAGAACTTGTGCTAATTCTCTTCTGGACTTACTCATTGCAGGAAAGGAAATCTGTAACTGTTGTCTAAGAAAAGCTGATTATTCCCCCTGAACTGACTATACTCTTCAATTGAATTTCATTAAAAAGTCAAAGCACATTCAATACTTTAGAATTTTGTGCACAAACAGTCGCATACAACAGAATGAGAAAGGAAATGAGTCTTTGCAAAAGAGACCCTGCACACTTTGACCTCCGTTCAGTGGGTTATGACTCAGGGAAAGCTCTGCAAGCTGGTGCTGAAGGTACGCGAGGATGGACAACCAGCTATTCTATTCACCTTGCAATACTTTTTTTTTTTTCGAGAATTAGCGCTGCAGTTCCCAAGTGCAGCTGTTATTAAATTTCTCCATTATATTTTTGTCCAGGGCAACAGCTATACCAGTTTACACATTCAGAACAAACACAGTCTTCCCACAGACTCGGGCTTTTCCCAACACTGGTTACGATTTCATGCACGGCCAAAGAGAAAATACATCTACTCTACAAAAACACAGGACGTTCACCTTGTTTTCTTGAACCTTCGTTGGAGTAGTTGTGTTGCTCTTATTTTCTCTCTGTTGACGACGTCTAGCTGCCTCTTGTTCCTCCTAGACAAACATTTTAAAAGACTTAATAATTTGCTCAAATATTTATCACTTTTTAATACAGACCACACTGTTTCCCAGCTTAGACTTCTACAAGAGCTAGGTGCGAGTGCTCTTATCATATAATGCCTAATTCATAAAAAAACTTTTATTAGCAGCAAGGGGCAAACACTCACCCTGCCTCAGGCATCACTCAGTGGGAAAAGGAAAATAAGTGCAAGTCGCCCTTCTGCACTGCAGTACCGGCTGTAACGGGTTTCAAACATACAGCCACAGGGCAAAGGAGATTCGGCTCCCACCTCCTCCCTCCTTCTGCCCCTCCCAATCCCATCCGCCAGATCACACACTGCTGTCACAGGTTTTGGTTGGTTGGTTTTTACACTATTAAATATTTCAATAGTTTTACGTATACCCCCAACACTTCATGTGTTGCTATATCACTTTAAAAATCTTACATGAAATGGCAAAGCCATTAATTATCGTCTAATTCAACTTTAGCCAGGACTAGGGAAAACGTGGGCCCTCTCCAGAAGGAATCAGGAGACCTGGGATATGGAGAAGGCTGAGGTACTCAACAACTTTTTTTCCTCAGTTTTCACCAGTAAGTGCCCAAGCCACACCGCCCAGGCTGCAGAAGGCAAAGGCGGGGACTGGGAGAATGAAGCACCAGCCACCATAGGAGAAGATCAGGTTCGAGACCATCTACAGAACCTGAAGGTGCACAAGTCCACGGGACCTGATGAGACCATTCTGCGGGTCCTGAGGGAACTGTGGATGCCCCATCCCTGGAGGGGTTCAAGGCCAGGCTGGATGAGGCTTTGGGCAACCTGGGCTAGTGGGAGGTGTCCCTGCCCATGGCAGGGGGGGGCACTGGGGGGGCTTTAAGATCCCTCCCAAACCAAACCATCCTGGGATTCTATGAAGCCTGTGGAGGAGACTAACAAAATAAAGCAACTTTTAAGCTTGATTTTCTACTAGGCAGTAAGGACAGGAAATTTGAAAAAGCTCGCTCAAAGCCTTTCTTGTACCTTCCAGGTGAGGTTTAATTTCCATAAGAATTCGGGCCATCCCAACACTTCTTCAATTTAACCAAGTTGTCAACTAAACCCTATAAATGGCAGATTCAACTAGCCTCACCACTAAAAGCAGGGATGTTCAACAGTACGTGGATGCCACCCTGCATTTGTTCTTTTTACTCTGAAAAGCCTTTTTCCTCCCAAGTTGGAACTCAGCAATCTGAAATAACCCAGTCCCAAAGCTACCGTTAGTCTGTTTTCAACACTTCCCAAGTCAGTCACTCTGAAGACTAGCGTTCACCTGAAGTTTTCAATTAAGTGGCCTCACGTAATTATCTGACTGGGAATACCAGCCCCATCGCTTGTTTCAGATTAATACAGCCCAGCAGAGTCTCAGAAATCCCTCTGGCATTTTAATTCCTCATGCGATAGCACAGACTGCAGAAGTGACACCACAGTTCACAGCTCAAACAGCCTGTCCCAAAAGGAACATCTCAGTGCTCTTCAGCTTCGTCTTCATACAGCCGAACACTGGGACAGACTCAAACTACCGGTTCTGTCTTCAGCTTCAGTTCTTTAATGGACGAGGAGCTCTTTATAGACCTCTAACGCAAGCGAAGAACACCTTGTGGCTGCCCCATTAATTCTCTATTAGAAAGCCCTTGAACATGATTGTATTAGTGCTTGATGGCGTATGATACTTCACTCCAATTAGCTCCCTACCCGTGTTCCCTGCTTATCAAGAAAATTTGATTTTCTATCAGTTTTGTACATCCTCAACAAGTAGCTGCTCCATTATTTTGAGTTTTCTACAGAAAATGACAGAAACTTACCCTGAGTTTTGGATTTTTGAGACTAGAAAAATAGTTTTCAAGCTGAAAATAGAAAGATAAGATAGTCATTTTCAGAGTCACAACATGAATACATAAGAACAAAATACCAGCTTACGACAACTGCAGAACTTCTGACTGGTTTTCTTCTGATAAGCTACATCAAGAAGCCATTTATATTCATTCTTTGTAGAGACACAGAGATGCTGTGTAGCAAGGAGGACACAATCCAAGCCTCAACAAGGTTTTACCATCTTCACCACTGCCTATCCTTGTTCTAAAGCTTTGTGTCATATATCTTCACTCAGCAGAAGGCTATTTTCAATGAAGCCACTTCACTCTTGTACTCCACTAAAATATTTATCTGCACTCTACTGTATTCTTTAACAAAAGCATTATTAGACTACATCAGACTTAGAAAAATAGTCTTACTATCATCTTGCAAAAAACTCAGCGTGGGAATACACTATTTCTCCACCAAAGTTTACATTGCTACAGGGTTGTTTCTGTTTTCTTTAACTGAAAAAAAAAAAAAGTGAATGCATCAGCGTTGTTATGGAGCTTGGGCTAGTTCTGCAGCAACTGAAAATTCAACTAAAATTGAGATTGAACACGATTGAATGAAATGGTCTGTACACCACAAACCAAACTGAAGAATTCAAGACCCACAGAGTCTTTACTCAGCGTGGAAGCTATAGCACAAGCCCACCGCTCTGCATAGATGCAAATTCTGGAGCAGGAGAAGGAATTGCACTTGTAAATCTGTGCACCTTCAGCGAATGAACGAACTATCGTAGTGCTGTCCGTAACGACACTGTGTGTGGAACGTGCTGCACTGGAGCAGCCAGAGGCTAAGCCACCCAGTACGACTTGCACGTTCAGGCAGACTGAACAGGCAACTGGTGAAGGGCACCCCTCCCAGGTAGGTGTGCTCCAGGTCTGTAAATATGCGGAGGAATATGGAAACAACTCCCAGAAATGGAGCATGTTGATTCCAGAGCGGGCGAAGCAGCCAGAGATTGACTGGCCGTATCGATACTCACTATGGTTCGGTCAATAGTATGCAGGTAGTAAGAAACTGGTTTCCCGGTCCAAGACACAGACCCTTTCAGTGGCGATAGCTCCACAACTCTCATTATAGTGCCAATATCTAAAGGAAGAAAGTCAAGTTAGGGAACCAACATTCGCTCAGTTTGCCGCTCAGTTCTACTCAGCTGAAATGAGTCATGGAATAGTAAAGGCACATTCAAAACAAAAAGATAAACTTTGCATTCAGACAGCAATGCCCTAGAAGAAAGCACTGCGGGGAGTTTAAAAAGCAAGTTCTTATTCTACACACACCCTACAGAAAATGTAAGAGATTTTGAAGATCTACCTTCCATTTCCTAAGAGACAGCCACTCTAGAGTAAAATTACGTGCTAGTGCAAGCTTTTAACAAACAAAACCTTCCTGTGTCTCAGAGACAACTTTTACGAAGAACCCAGCACCAACCCATCTGCAGTAAGAGGCAGGATTTAATTAGGTAGGACCAGTAACGGAACGTCGTTAGATCCAACCCATGTAAACTGCGACTGCACTATATTTGGATTGGGGACAAACATGTTTTATATTTGGAATGAGGACAAACATGTTTTATATTTGCTTTCTTGCCTACATTTGTTTTGTTCCCTAGAATTAATAGGTACGGGATGTGTCTAAGCATTTCCATAACCACCGAACACCGAGCGAGCGGCATGACTGCAGAAAAAATTATGGCACACTTCTAATTAGATAGAAAATTACCTAGAAGGGTGAAAAAGCAAGGTTCAGGATTCAGCAACCTCAACCACTATTTTAACCACATTTTAATACTTGTTTTGGTTTGTCCCAACTCTTTCCACATTTCAATTTCTTTTTCCACATGGCACTGCCACGGACAAGAATGGTATTGAGAAAAAAGGTTGCCTGCTTCTTAAAGCTTTGTCTTTTTCACTATATTTTTTTAAATTATTTAACTGTTCATCCTTCAGATCAAAACATCAGATAGACAGGCAAGCTACACGACTTAATTCCCAGTCAGGCACAAAAAAACCCCACACTGAATAAAAGCCTGATGAAAAACCTCGTCAGGCAGCAGCATGAAGCTAGCGCAGCAGAAGGAAATCACCTTCTCTGCATGTGAGGGATATTGGCCACGTTCTATGCCACGAGGTCGAAGTGGATGACATTTCCCTGCAAGTGTCACTCAGAAGAGGCCATTCGGGCTGGAACAAGCCCCAGGGCTGGGTACATCCCGTGCATGTTCATTCGATATTGGGATTTCTGAATACAGTCTGGGCAATGAATAGGATTAAGACCTAGAATTTATTTCCACAATATTCCCTCACTGTTTGTAGCACACAAAGGTAATTTCTTTTCAGGACCTCTTATCTGAATCCCTGGAAGAGTTTCCTATTAGTGCGAGCTAATAAGTACTCCTACAGTAAGCAATCTCATTCACCCAGATCTTAATTAGCTATCTCTGGGTAATTCTAACATCAATATTCACATTAAGCATTAAATACCAGTTGATATATAAAGCTTCAGCATTCTAGAAAACTATTCCCAGTGAATCCGCACTGGGGTGCAGGCTGAAATAGGATGAAGAACTGGCTCAACTGAGACTCATAATCAGGGCTTTTATTAGGGGAAAACAGTAATACAGCCCCTTTGCCTCCCCACCATGTCTTTAGTAACTGCAGTCTCCCAAACCTAGCAAAGAGAGAGATAACAAAATGGTCAGAAGCCAGGAAAGAAAAGGCTTGAGAGGCCAAAAATCTTATATTTCATCTAGTGCCAGTGTGCTGTAAGAGAGGCAGCAGGCTTTCCTTAGGTGCTCTTTGTCTTCTGAGCAAACCAACAGACTGATCTCAGCTCTCTGGAGGTTTGACAATTTCCAGGAGTACTGTTCTGCGTGGGTTTTGGGTTTGTGGTTTTTTTTTTTTTTTTTTTTGTACTTTTATTTTCAAGTATATGTCCACAAAGGATTGGCAAGCCAGGGCCCAAGGATTATTAAGGTTCCAAACAATCAGACGCTACAGAAAAGAATATCAAACAGGAAGGAAAAGGGCAACTTTGGGCGTCTGATGCGCAGGACATTCGTAACAATTCAAGCTTAGTAAAAATAACTCACAACGGCACTATTTCAGTGAAATGCCTTAATGACAGTCTTCAAATTACTATTCTTGAAAAGCAGTTTACGATGAGTGTCAGGCCAAGAACAGAAAATACAGCTTGAGATTTGTGACTCAGTATGTTCCTTGCCATGTTTGCACAAGGAGGAGAATAAGGTGGTTTTTAAATTTAGGAGTGTTTTGCACTGGACACGGTAAATATGTGCAAAACCCAGCTTGGATCATTCTTTTGCTTGCAAAATTTCCACAATAAAAATTGAAAAAAAGGTCAGAAGCAAAACCAACAGCACAGGGCGTTAGTAATGTCAACGCCTCATTAAACTGCAGTTCACATACTTGCAAAGGACAACATTGGCAAATATCAGCTCTGTGTTCAGAAGAGAAGAAAAACCCAAAACTTTGTTGGCAGTAAAGCAGACACAGCCACTGGGCGTTTACGGGCTAGGTCTGTTTGATCGGTTTTCAGTACAAAATACAAGGCGTGCAAAGTTGAACATTTTGGCTTCTAAGCCTTACAAACCACGACTGGTGGGATTTACCTGTCCAAATTCAGACAGCTGCGGTATAAGGAACCTGCACGCACCTTACGTCAGTCACCGCAGCTCTTTGTACTTAACAAAGAACTGGATCACGCCCTTGAAACACCTGATTTCCTTCAACTATACAAGATGCCCAGCCAGGGAAACGTTGACTTCAGAGACATCTAAACACAGCGGGATGAACCCCATAAAAAGAGTGTCTGTTTGTTCCAGTGTTGGGTGAGGTTTTGTAATTTGTTTGGTTTAAATCCATGTCACTTTGGCATGTATGCTGTAACAATATAACAGCATTTTTTCTACTTATGCAACTCTTTAAAGATCAACAAAAAATCCCCTACAGACATATTCAGATAATGAGCACACCGTAATTGTAATGAACAATAAAAAAGGCAATCGTACCACTCAAGTTTCGACTGTTTATTCTAAAATTTAGAGGTGCAAAAGGTTTTGAGGACACAATTCTCCCACCTGGAAAAAAAAAAAAAAAGTCAGCTACCACTGTTCGTTCTTGAAATTACTTATTCAATATAACCCAGTACAGAGCCCTCCAACAGCAGCCCCAATTAAAACTATCACTTGTATATCACTAAAAAAAAATTACTTAAAGCTTATTCTGACAGTAAGAAAGTCATCTATTAGTCCCGCTAGCTAGCTATGAGGTGACACCTCAAGGATCACTTTAAAATGACAGACCTTAAAACACTTCAAAATTAAAAAATTAAAAAGCACGTTAATTCTCAGTGGCAATCTATAGAAATTTCAATCAGGAACATTAATATCTCATTCCTAGTTAGTATCTTTGGTACACAAGCCCCCAAAGCCCTTTAAAGGAATGCTGATCTCCTTGTCACAGCTATTTGTGGTCACTCAGCCCCAGGCACAGAGCCTGAGCACCTTCGGGAAAGAGAACTCTGCTTTCTTCATTTTGTAAAGAACCTTCCCCACCTTGCCACTTCTTTCAAGCCATCGCTAAACACAAGGCTTTAAAAAAAAAAAAAAAAACAAAACAAACCCATACAAAGAACAACCGCTAAAATTCAAGAAGAGAGCTTAAGTTTTGGGGTTTTACGGTTTGCATCAGAGCCCAAAAGCCACATTAGCTACTTTCAGCACAAAGCTGTACAATGGGAAGCCACAGCTTCTTTGTTCATTCCACACATTTTTCTTTTCAGAAATGCTTCTACCATAACCAAATAAAATTGTCACTTATCCAAGCGGTTAAGAGGAATGAAAAAGACACCTCGGGCAACGTATGGGTCACAGCGGGGTTACTGGACATCCCCAGTCACTGGTGTCTGCAACGCGACTTCTCCAGAAGCACACAAGACATCCAGTGCCAGTGTTCCCATTTTAACAGCCAGTACTAAATGGGACAAGTGAATAGGAGAACCCAGTGCCTGAATTCAGCACAAACTCATACACAAAGCCATGCCTAGACAGCCAGGGAGCTTTCCAGCCTTAGCTGCGGTATGTTTTGTTGGCTCCCGTACCAGGTACGAAAGGACCGGCAGTTCCTCTACCCCACGGAGCTCCACAGAGTCTTCACGTGCAGTTACCAGGTAATCAGGTAGCTCAGAGGAGATACCAAGGTGGGAAGTAAGAAGCCCAAGAAATAACCATTGCGGTGCAGATGCTTGTCCGCAAGGCACAGAATGAAACCCACCAACCTGGCTCCTGATGGCTGTAAGCCAGCCCTTACCACCAGCAGCTCCCCCAGTAAGCAGGAAACCAAAGGAAAAAGGGGTAAAGTTGGATTTGTTACCTTCCTTCATGTTCGCAAATCGCTCCTTCAGTTGGTGATCCACCTCAGGACCAAAGGCAAAGTTATTCACAAAAATAACACTGTAAGATAATGGTCTAGTTAATAAACAGGGACAGAGGAACGGCACCCAAGTATGTACACACCCACCCCCCAACCACCACTCACAGACGCTTCCAGCCTTTACAGCCGCCTACAAAACTGAAAAACGCTGCTTGTCCCCAACTATACAGCTACTTCCACCTAACAAAATGCTTTCTTCTTGCATGATGACACAAAACAGTACCTTACCTTTAGCATTCACAGACGCTGCCTACATCATTACATTTAAAAAATCGTAACGGCATCCTGCTCTCGCAGTTCCTCTCAGCATGCAGCTGAGTTTTGCAGCGTAAGTTCCAACATAAAAACAAGGTGCAAAATGTTTTCACCCCTCTGCCACGGGGAGATCAAACACCAAGACAGGAACTCCCAACACCCTTACAGGAGTTAATCCACATGTGAAAAACGATACTCCAACACAACACATCCCATTACCTCTCTACGTGCATTTAAAATATTACAGCAAAATATCAAAATATATTTTTTCTTCTAGCTCTAAATTTCCCCAGAATACAAAGAAGCAGTTGACATTTCTCAGCAGGTTTTCCCTGCCCTAAACCCAGCACTTCACCCTAACCCCCAACGGAGGAGCTGCATTTTTATTTTTGGGTTAGGAAATCCAATGAGGGCTTTTGTTCCTGAAAAAAACAGTCATATGGAAACAAAGAAACCTGCACATTGGCACAATCACATAAACGATAAAAATGTTTGGGAAAGAAACAGAGTACATCACAAATTTAAGAAATACCCCTTTATTTCTAAGAGCCTGAAAGTCTGGGGCTGGTCTCACTGTCACTGGTGCCCGTTTCCTACTGGCTTGCAACCAGTGTCCTCAACATCTCCTGGAAGCTGCCCGGCACCCTGCACGCATGAACCGTGAGAGCTGTATACTGTATAGATGGTATATTGTTTCAACATAAAGAACCGATTGCTTTGCAAGAGATCTGTTTGAAAACTCCCCTCCTAGTGCCTCCACACATGAAACATGTTCAACAAGGACACTGAGTTTAAGAGCAGCAGCCAAAGCTATTAAAAACCACGGATGAAAAAAATGTTTATACACCAAGAAAAAAAAAAAAAAGTGAATCTTGCTATGCCTTGCTCTTGGAAATTTGGGAAACCCTGCCTGGCAAGTAAGGTTAGCAGGGGTTCTTCCTCCTCCATCCCACCACGTGCCAAAAAAAGAGGCCAAGCATGTTAATGGGACTAGAAAATATCCAGGAAAGGAAGGGAAAAAGCCATAGCTTGCCAGCTATATATTTTTTTAGTGTTCATTCTGGCACAAGACTTTGTACGCACATGACAGGAGTGCAGGAGCCCCCAGTCCACCTTGACTTCAACCCTCGTTTCAGCACGTATCGCTAAGCTGCAAGTACAGCTACGAGCAGGAGTGCTGCGTGCCGCACGGCACCGCGTCGGACCGAGCTCTGGTACAAACGCAGCCTTCCCTTCAGAGCCTGGCCACCGGCCCACGCTCACGGGGAGGGCGACGCTCCAACCTGCTCGCTAAGATCGGATGGCTCCAGGGTGAATTCATCAGACAATCTGCGGGCTCATTAGACAGAGCGGACGCTGAACAGTTAGCGCACTCGGAACAAACACAAACACCTAACAGTTGGGAGGAAAAAGCGACTTCTTTTTGAATTTCTGTATCAGAGAGCAAGGTGGCTGTGGGTCAGCAGGCATACAGTTACCTGCACACCACCAAAACAGACATCTACCAGCATTTCTGCACGCAGTTAGGTGTACTTCAGCTAAAAATTAAAAAAAAAAAAAATTAGATTTGTTCCAAGGCAAGTTGCACAGAGCAGAGGAGCGCACGTTTGGAAAAGCAAGCAAAAAAAGCAAAACCCCAGTATGCTGCAAGGCTGGGACACGTCTGTCCACAAATTAAAAGGCACCTCCAGAAGTTTAACTGAGGTACATCGTATGCAAAAGCCATCGGCCTGGCAGATGCCTTCTTGATGGAGTACTCTTAAAACAGTGTCTTGGAAGCAATCCATAATTGCCACAATGCTGAAGACTTTCCGAGAGCCCTCTTTGACAACTGTCTTCTATCCCCCCACATAATGGGGTGGCCCAGAAGGTCATATAAAAATAAAGACTTTTTTTATTTTCTGTCCATAAGGCTGAAAGAATGCAAAGCCTTGAAAAATACAAAAGTATATTTTATTGCTTTAACAAATTTACTCCCTTTTGCTACCCATCAAATAGGAGCGTAACCCTCTATACAGATCTTCACTGAAATAAATCAAGACAATCAGCTTAAATGAATTCTCAATTTCAGTTGGAACAGACTCAATTGGGTCTTTTGCCTTTTTTTTTTTTTTAAATGGAAAGTAAGCCTAGCTGTATACACCAACAGCCAAGATAACTAGTGCTTTGCCAGAATCACTGACATGAGCTACAAGGATATGCAAAACAAACAGGTTTAGTCTCCTCTGTACAACCAGAATTTATCTTGGATACACCCTTGCACGTAATACCATGGGACACGCACTTAAACCAGTCAGAAAACAGGATCTAAAGAGGCCCGTATAAAAGTTGGCAGATAGGCTTTTGGTATTTGCTATGGAAATTCTATATAAAAAGCTGGCCAGCCTCCCAATTTCCATTTTACAAACTCCCAAATATTCAGTTCATAAAGCAGCATTCAATCGCTGTACTGTACCTTGTGTTCGCAATCCTCTCTCTCCATTCTTCTGAGAGGAAGTCACCTCTTTCCAGCTTAAAAAAAAAGACAAAGAACACAAAAAAAAACCACACACACACACAAGTTAACATTGTTCCTTTCTGCTCTGAATCCCTTTTCCGGACTAGCTCAGGGGTACCACTACATATAGGGGCACGTGAAGTCCTTGGGAAATACCGAGGGGACGAAGCACCCAGGGCTGCTCCTCGGGTCCCGGAGGTGCCTCCCTCTCTGCTCCCACCCTCCTGCCGCAGGATAACCAGGGAAGGGTCCCCGAGTGCCCTCCAAAGGCTGTGCTCCATGGCGAAGCCAGCAATGCCGCACAGCGCCCGGATCTGAAACGATCAGGGAATGCCTCCTCAAGTCCCCGCTGCCCCCCACGGCTCGGTCAGCCCCTCGGAGCAGAGCGGGAATCGGAGGATGGAGACTTGGCATCGGAGGACGGAGACGCGGCACGGCGCTCGCCGGGAGCACTGGCTTGTAATTCAGGCTCTTGTTGCAACGGACAGATAAGCATCTGATTTTTCCATGGTACTAAATATAAATCTTGAATGCTTCTAACACTTTCAAGTTGGAAACCAAGTAACATAACGGCCTTATTTGACAATAATTACAGTTATGACTCCAGTGACTTATACAGAACCTTTCTGATGAAACCACATCAAGTCCCAGGTTAAGACCCGCCACATCGCTCTTGCACAGATCAATGTTTTCTCAGTCGTGCTTTTGAAACGAGAGAGAAATCTACGGGCCATGCTGTTCTGCTGTGCCACAAGTAAGGCAGAAGGAGGGTTGGGGGAGGAAGATAAGAGAAGGACAGAAAAAACAATATGCAACTATATAATTAATGACGCTGACACAGTTTGAAGGGGCAAGTAAGATGATGGTTTATATCAGAACCTCAGGAACATCAAAGCAACGACAGTGACTGCTTAGCATCCTTTTTCTTCATATATTCCTTTGTGTGGCAAGAAGCGAGCGTTTCGCATGCCAGCGCTTATTCTCATTTAGTGACAACCCCAACAGAAGCGCCTGCACTGCAATGCAGACACGCTCAAGCTCCTTCCAAACCTCGCTCGCCGAGCCAGGATACCCGTCTGAGGGAAGCACCAGCGCCTGGTGCCTCCCACCACAGGCTCCTCTTCCCGGCGGAGCAGCCTGACACCTCTCCGAGCCACAGAAGGGATGACACACGGAGGTAAAGCCGCCTGAGCCATTGTGAAGGACAAAGCCACAGCTGCCAACAGGAGCGGGTCTCCTCCTGCTTCTCAGGAGGAAAGGGGGGAAAAAACCAAACCCAAAAAAGTCCAAATGCCCTTCTGCTAGACACTGCAGCCGAGGGGGGAACAGCAAGGGTTCTCCATGAAACATCAAACAGTTGTAAAAAGTTTTGAGTTTTCCTCACCTCATAGACTGAAACATTTTTTCTAGGGCTCTATATGCCCTATTTGTGAATGGAGACCATCTCCAGACTATTTTTAAGAGATAATTTTGTCTCAAAGTCTTATCTGTTCTTGCGGTAAATAGCTTCATGGTTGATTCACCAAGATACAGTACAAGAAAACCCACATGGAGGGCAACTATATTTTACAACAATTTCTGCAAGTCAGCTTCTGTACTGCAGTCCTCCACGCCACACAGTCTCTAATGTCTACATGAGGTTTCCGTCCACTAGCAAAGAAAGAAAAATATTTGAGAAATAGGGAAGCATGATTATAAAGCCATAGTCTAGCAAGAGAACAAAGAACCAGCGTAACATGAAACTATTTTGAAATACTAAGCTTCATATAAAGGTCTTGAAATCTAAACTAAGCGGCTGTTATACTGAATTTGGATCCAGTTCCACTGTATGTTTGTCCTGCCTGGGTGGTTAGGTAGAGCCCAGTTACAACCAAAATCTCCGTGGTTTAACCTGATGTAACACACATGGAGGCTGAACACTTTTTCCCCCGTCTACTTCTGCAGGATAGAGCCATGTTACAATTCAAATGAACCACAACCCTCTTGAAACCCATCTATTTTTGTATTTTAATGTTACCCTAGCTCATGCTTAGCCAATAGATGAGGGAAATAAAATCTCACCAGGAAAAATACTGGAGTACAGAAATAACAAGATGGTCAACTGTGGTTCAGAGTAAATTGGTTATTTTTTCCCCTCTGGAAGCACGACAGTGATTCCTGGATCAGTGGTCTCCTAGACTCAAACCAGAGCACAAGAGCTGTCTGAGTGACGACTGCTGACAACCAGTTTCTTCACCTTCTGTACTTGGGGAGCAGGGATCAACAAAT